GAGAAACACCAGACCAGTTAGGCTCCCAGTTAGCACTGGGAACCAGAGCTAACTGCTGCTAGGAGCCCAACGCCTTGAAATTAAACAAACTGCAGTTAACGCAAAATATGCCCTACTAGGATTTATTTGTTTCTTATCTTTAGTTTTTTATGTTTAATGCAAAAATTAAAATTCTTCTTTTTGCACTGGGACCAGTTAAAACCAGTGGACTGAAGTCCAGGTCCTCCCAGTCTGAACTGGTTTAACCTCTTTCCAGATGGATGATGTAGCTGGGCTCACAGCGATAACAAAACAATGAAGAACAATAAATGAGTGTTGATGATGTTTGCTGCTTGTTTCATAAATCCTGTTGGAACAAAAACATGGTTTCCTGTCGGCGGAATAACTCGGATTGTTCCCGTTCATTTCTGACTGTAAGGAACCCGAGTCGGAGGAACCGACCGGACCTTCCGGACCAACAAGTCGCCTCTCAGCCTCGGATCCTGCAGCTGCTGCTCCAGCTGTTGGTGGGAGAAGAAGAAACCCGGAGCTTCACACGGATCCAGCTGGACGGCCAGGAGCCAACGCCGGGTCGGTGAGAACGCCGCTCCCTGGGGATCCGGGAACTTTCCCAGGCCCGGTCCGGCAGAACAGAACCGCTCTGACAGAACAGAACCGGTCCGTCTGGCGTTCAGAGGAGTCATGGCCTTCAACATAAGTTCACTTCCCTCCAGGACCGAGGAAGAGGAGGAGGAAGATGTTCGGACCTGGAACCTCCGTCGGTCTAATCTCATTCTGTGACCCAGAGCTCATTGCGATGGGTGAACCTAGAAGGTCAGAGGTCAATGAAATCATGACCTCTGACCTTCTAGGTTCACCCATCGCAACCTGGAGGCCCGTTGCCGTGCCAACTAGTTCTGTCTGTAAAAGTTATGAAAGGAAACAACAGAAGAGGAAGAGGCCTGAGCTGATGGTGACCTTTGAACCTCTTAAAGGGCCAGTATCATATCAAACATGATTTGAAAGACATTTCACTTCCTGATTTAACATTTTCAATTTGTGTCTGTGTCTCTTTAAGAAGCTTCTGCCCTTTCTGAAGCTCCGCCTCCAGGAAGTCGTCCCAACATGGCTCCTCTATTAACCCTTTAACGTTTTCACCAGCATTGCTCTGAGCAGCAGCTCCTTTAATGAGCTCAGCAGCTGGTTGCTAATTGCTGCAGGCTAGTCTGAAGGACCCAAGAGGGCGGGGCTAGGTCCACCCTGGTGTTTAGAAGCTGAATGGTTGCCATGGAGATTAAAGATTTCTCAAACATGAAAAAAATCAAGGCAAAATCAGAAAACATCCATTTGTAACGACACTGGCCCTTTAAATGTGTCAGGAAGCTGATAAATTTCCATGATTTAACTGGGACATCAGCCAGAGCTGAGGAAGAATCCGGACTTCGTCTTCATCACTCCCACAGCGATCCGTCTGGACCCGCCGGGTGACAGACACTGAGCCTGCTGCCATGGCAACCAGCTGTTGTGACCCAAACAGCGGGGCGACGGTGCCGAATTAGAGCGGTGATCTCATGGTGTTTATCAGCAGGCCGGGTTCTGGACGGGTCCAGCGTAACCGTGGAAACCCTCTGGGAGGAGGCTGGGGCCGGGAAAGCAAAACCTCTCTGATCTGATCCGGTCCAGCAGGGTTCTGGTTCCACCCGCTGTTTGGATCCGATTGGTTCTGTTAGTTTTCCTTACAGAACTTCTCATCACTTCTGTTGTTCTGCTAAAAGAATGAACCAGAACCAAACCAGAACCGGTCCGGTACTGTTAGTTCAACCAGATAATAAGGAGACAGAAGCAGAGCTGACTAATATAATAATAATAATAATAATAATAATAATAATAATACTAATAATCCATCCAGTCATTTTCTAACACGCTGGTCCCCGAGTGGGTCGGGAGGTTCTGGTGCCTCTCCAGCTAACGTTGCAGGTGAGATATAATAATAATAATAATAATAATAATAATGTCAGTCAGTTAATAGAAACTGTAAATATTATTAATTTTATCCCAGAACAGTATAAAATGTGTCTGATGATTCCATCCAGTTCTAACTGGGTTCTACAGAACCGGTTCGGGTCAGTAGAACCTGCTGCAGTTACTCATTTTGGACTGAAGCCACACTCTCTGTGACGTCACAGCCGCGCGCCCCCTGATGGAACGGCACCCTAGGCGCAGAGCCACACCGAACCAGCACTGACTGGGAGAATCAGGTAAAGTTTAGCAGACCGGGGAGATTTAAACTGGGAGGACTGGTACATGAAGATCAGGACTGGGAACCAGTTTAAAACTAAAACTGCAGCTGATCAATAATTAATACCTTCAGCCGCTCCAGAACCACCAGAACCACTCACCTGTTCTGCCCTCTGTCGACCCAAACCTTCGGAACCGCCGGGCGCCTGGTGTATTCAGTCCGGACTGCGGTCCCGCCTCAGACAGGTGGAGGTGGAGCAGCTCCGCGGGGTCCAGCCCGGTACTTTCTGGACCTCAGGACGTCCTGTCGAACTCACGGCGGCTGGTTGAGGTCATCAGCGGTGACTCTGCTCTAAATTTAACCGCTTCTCTCAGCCCGCCAGCGGCCAACTGACCGAGGCTTTTCCAGACAGCTGAATATCGGCAGCCTTCCTCCTCCTCCTCCTCCTCCTCTTCCTCTTCCTCTTTCCTGCTTCTCTTTGATGAGCTTTACTTTGAAATCTGCTCTCTGCTCTTAAACTGGATCTAACTTCAGCTATTTTCAATGTTTCAAACTATTTTCTCTCTTGCTGTTTAATAAAGGCATATCTTTGGGCAGCAGAGTGCTGAGTTGACAGTGACCTGCAGCGCCCCCCTCCTGTCAGCCACGGAACTACAGTCAGACCACAGAGTTTCCTAGTACTTTTATTTAAAAACACACTTTAATTATCCAACACAAAGGAATGAACCGCTATGGAAAGATCTTAACAACACCAGAATATGGAAAGACATTACAGACAATAATTAACAACATGACAACAATCAGCACAGAATCACAAGTAAAAACAGAACCACACAGAGGAACATCACCGCTTTCATATCATTTCATTCAAGTAAAAATCAAAAGTAACTATCCAAGAAATTCTCAAGAGTATTGAGTAACTGATCATAACATCAAATTTAATATTTACCAATTATGTAATTAGGCAGAAAAGTTCTAACCTTATGGGTAAATTATTGTATTTTAAATAGGAAAAAGACCTAATAAACAAATAACCCAAATTAAGCATAAGAAAAACTAGATAATTACATAAATACACAGCTATATGGGTACCTATCTACCTGGATGGATGGATGGATGGATGGATGGATGGATGGATGGATGGATGGATGGATGGATGCTACATGAATAGCTTGATAGCTAAACATCTATATAAATATCTACATAGCTTCATAGCTAGCTAAAAAGCTGCATAGATTGCTACAGAGATAGCGATAGAAACAGCTAGCACATACATCGCTAGACAAATATCTGCATAGATAGCTAGAAAGCTATATAGATAGCAGGATAGCTACATAAACAAGTAGGTGGCTATATAAATTGTTAGCTACCTACAAAGGTTGTGAGCTTTGTAGGTAGCGAGATGCACATTACGAAATAGCTAGATAGCTTTTTAGATAGCTCGATAACTACATAGACGGCTACAACCATAGCTACATAGATAGCTGATAGATATATAGACATTTACCTACATAGATATTTGTGTAGCAATATATCATCATCATTTATTACAGACAAAAGAGATAAAGATAAAAATAAACATGACACATAATATTATTCACTGAGTAACAAATAAATGACACCAGTGATGAGGAAAATCTCACTGTACTGCATAGATATACAACTACATAAATATAGCTACGCAGCTGGATAGACCTCAGATACATAGATAGTTATGTAGATATGTAGCTACTTAGCTAGCTAGTTAGCTACATAGATAACTAGATAGAGGAAGAAAATCTTTCTTTCAAGAGAAAAGGTAATCTGTACCATATATAAAAACAAAGAAGTAAAATAAAATAAATCATAAAGTAAAAGAAGAACACAGCCATCACATAGCTACATAGATAAATAAATGATATATATTTACATAGAAATCTCTATAGATATTTAACAACATAGAAAATAATGTTAATAGCTATACACAGACAGCCCCATATATTTTTATTTTTTGTTTACTAATAATTTTTCTTGGTTATTTTATATATATTTTTTATGCCTAAAGTAGAAAGAGTAGAAATAATTGGCTGGCTTTGAAACACGGATGAGTTTTTCAGAAAGGAAAGAAGCAGAAAGTGCTTTAGAGAAATCAATAAAAGTGTAAAATCCAACCATTGGACTAAATCTCCCTCAAGTTGTATTTTATCTTGAAGAGATTTATTTTTATAATTTAGAGAGCAGTGAGTCTGTGGTTTTGGATTAAGAGGGAAAACCCGGATTACCCGGAGAAAACCCAGAAAGAAAAGAGTAGAAACAATCGGCTGGGATTGAAACCAGAAGGTTTAGTTCCAACACCGAGCCGCTCAGTTTTTATGGAAGCAGGAAACTGTTTCGTTTCAAAGACATTTAAAAATGGATTCCCCTAACAGATCGCTGTCTGTAGTTGAAATGAGAATCTGTTTTGGATGGAATGAGACAGAAACCATCATTTTGTTCGGGAGGTTTTCAGTTCTTTACCAGAACAGGCCTGCATAGCGAGAAGTCCGCAGCCGGTGGAACCACCTGGAGATGTTCTCCAGGTCCCGGTCGAAGGCTCCAAACATCCGGGCCAGAGTGTTCTCGGGTTTCCTTGTGATGTTCATTCTGGTTTCAAGGTAATCCAGAAGCAAGACGTCGAAACTGTTTCTTGCAAGCAGAGCGACTTTAAAAAGTTTCTGGATTGACCCGAAAGCCTCGTGGATTTCCTTGGAAATGGCCGCAGCGATGCGCTTCAGGTTTTCTGGCTGCAGCTCGAGTTGGGAAGCAGTCATCTGGTTCTGTTGGACCATCAACCCGCACAGACGGCTCACCATCATTTTCCGAACATCTGACGGGAAGAACTCGTAAAGCTCCTCGGGGACGTTGATCATATTTCTCAGGAGCAGACAGCAGAAGATGACGCCGCTGTCTGCTGTCGGCCTGGATCCCGGAGACGGGGAATCGGACTCGTGGTCTGGGCTGGCATCGTGTCTGTGGCAGTCCGGGATTCTCACTCCAAGCTGCTCTGCCAGAGCTTCAATGAGCGCCTCGTCAAACTCCTCGTCTCTCCTCATCGCCGCCTTCACCATGTTTTCAGACGAGCCGAACCGCTGGTGCAGAGTTTCAGAAACGGTTGTCACGATGTCCGATAAGTTGTCTTTGGTGATGATGACCAGAACTCCGTCTGGGTCCCCAGTGGAAATCATCAGCTTCTTCAGACGCTTCTTCATCTTCGCCATGCAGCTCTCTGAGAGGATGCGTTTGGCGTTCATGTCGCAGTTTCTAAGAGTCCTGATAATCATAACACACACCATGGTGTTGATCTTGTCTTTTTTCCCAGGAGGACCGTAGACCAGGTTCTGTCTCAGTACATTCACCATCTCTACATCATCGAAAGACATTTTGGATTTGATTTATTTCTCTTCTTGGAACAAACAACCAACAACAAGTGGCTCCTGGACTGAAATGATCCAAACTGACCAACAGAGGGGACTGTTCAAGTCATGAGATCATAGGCGAATTGTGACGTCACAGCCGCAGGCCGAACAAAGGCATACGTCAGAAGCAACCTCAGCAACAGAGGTCTCTAAAATAATAATCAAAACTTACATTATCCTTTTCCACCTGCGTCAGCCAGTTCTCTTCTGCGCATGCGTAAAGAAGACCCCGTCCGCAGCTCACCTGTCTGACTCCGATAGCTGGACGGAAGCCATCCTGCGGGGACCGGAAGCGTGGACTCTCCACCAGAGGGCGCCCTGGTACAGGTCAAGCTGCTGTTCCGGTCCATCAGAACCGGTACCGGTCCGTGCATGTTCTGGTAACTGGATGTTCTCATAAAAAGCAGTTATTAAAAACACAAAAGGTTTTTTATTTAAATAGGATGAAAACTTATTTTGAATTGTTTGCATCGCTGTTGATCCTGCTTTGTTTTTCTGCCTGAATGTTTACCGCTACATTTCTGATGAATTGTTTGATTCTGGTCTGTTTTGCTCCTCCAGGGTTTGACGCTAAATGTTGGAGCTTCTCTGTTTGAGCAGCCGTCATATTTCTCATTTTCACACCGAACGGGTTTGTCCTGAGGAAATGAGCTTCAGTGTCGGGTCAGTGTGAGCCCAGAGCTCCGCTGTCATCACTGATGAAGTGTGTAATGGTTCCGGTTCTATTGACCCGCTCACGGCTCACTTCACTGATGGAGACGATCCCTCCTGCTGAGCGGACACCGCGGGAAATGGCCTTCAATGAACACAACATGATGTTTTCATTATTTTAAACAAAATCAACACTTTCAAATGAACAAGTTCTACAAAACAAATGAAGCATTTTTGTTTCATATGTAACTTTTTTCAGTTGATCAGATGAACTTTTTAATGAGTCGCGATTCCTAACAGGAACATTGAGTTTTATTTCATCGTTGGGTTTTCACAGTGGTGGACGCGCCGCTCAGCTAATACTTGACAGTGGAGCTGATTTTTAGCTTAGTGCTTTAGCATTTTTGTTAACTTGGAAAAGTTTAGCGCACTTAGCTTTCCCTAAATTAATCTTTCTGGATAAATAAAATGTGCTAATTTATGTGGTTACCGTGGTGAATCAGGCAAAATTAGAAAACTGATAGTTTTCAAATTTGAATCCATGAGTTCTGTTCCACAGAATCATTTAACATGTTGTGTTATTGACACGTGGTGGGGATAATATGGCTGAATTTAGTACTTTAGCATTAGCGTTCTCTAAATGCCATGATGGTAGCGCTTTAGCTAGCAGAACTACTGGTTCCATTTAATGCTTCTGTTAGCCCAGCAGTTAGCGGCGACCACCACTGAGTTTCCATTTATCCTTTGCTTTGTTCTCACTGATGCCAAGAAGGTCGTTTTTTGTCATGTTTAGTTCTTGTTGTTTGAATAAGTGAGAAAATCCTGTTTTTGTAAACATTTGTGTCTGGCGTTTCGTCCCTCTGCTGCACGGCGCAGGTTTGGGTCAAACCCTTCGCTCATGTAAAATATGAACGAAGTCTGGTTCTGATTCTGTAACCTGGCTGTATTTCTCTTATGTTATAATTACATAAAATGTCTTTGTGTGGTTATTCATGTTGCTCCTTCCTGACTGAAACACCTTTAGAAAGTCTGTCATTGTTTAAGCCCCTCCTTTTATTGCTTCTTCTTCTGTGGTATTGTTTTTAAATTGTCTGCGCCTCTTAGCCCCGCCCCTTTCTCATGTTGTCTTGAGGGAGACATGACATCTAGTTTATTTATAGATCTATCATCATTGTAATGAATCCGTTCTGTAATGTAAATGTTTAACTGAACCAATTCCAAAGTACCAGGAACTAACTTTAGTTGCTCTGTACTTTAGCTTCGTGTTGGAGCGGCGGCCATAACGTGGTTGATCTCTGTCTGTTGTTCTCGTCAGAAACAAACCGAGAAACCATTAACGGTTACATTCTGCCTTGAAGTCTGTTAAATGAACTGAAGATTAAAACTTTCAGCTGGTTTTTCTGTTGCAGTGTTTTATCTGGAGGCTTCAGAATGAAGCTCATCTAACAGGAATATTCAGTTCTGCTCCACCGGTGAAACATTAAAGTCTTCTCTTTGACTCTGAGCTCTGCAGAAATCTTCCAGAAGCTTTTTCTGTTTGATGATGAGCAGAAACATTTTAGCTGCTCAGCCGTTTCTCTCACACTGAAGCTAAACGTTTCTTTGACCCTCAGCTCCAGACGAAGGAATGAAGGAAAATGACCGTTTGCAGGACAGAGCGCGACGAGCCAACAAGCTAATAACAAAATGGGTCTGAGAGCCTCAGAGATGAAATCACAGCCTGTCAGAATCTGAGCCAAATTTAATTCAATTCCCCTGAGAAGATAAAAGCCGGGTGTCAAACGTTTCCTCCTCCTCACACCTGCTGTCTGTCCGCCTCGGACCTTTAATCTCCTCCTTCAGGCTGATCGTCTTCAAACAGATCAGCTTTCAGGTGAACGACGCGTCTTCATCCTCAGGAATGTTTTAACTCAAATCTGCACAGAAATCATCACATTTGATTATTTTTATGTGACTTCCAGCTGAAAATTTGCAACAATGTAAAACAGAAAAGTCAGTGAAGAGCCAGAAATCCCAGAGGAGCGATGATGTCACGAGAGGAACATCAAACTCAAAATGGCCACCAGACGTGGAAGCAGAAACAACGAAGCATCCAGTTTGAGTTCAGAAAATAAAACTGAGAGCAGCAGATTGGAGACCTAACAAACTGTCACCACACCAGAGATTTAAAAGGAAGACCTTGTGATTCTGCTTCAGTTCTGACCAGCAATCTCACACAATGATCAGCCGTCTACACAGTAAAAAATGCTGGGTTATTTTCATAACCCAATTTCTGGG